TATCAATCATATTTGCATTTAGCAGTCTGAAGTAAGGAGTCATGACTCACTTACCGCCTCCACTTCCGCTGGGTCATACCAGACATTAATGTATGGATGCTGTAAGGCTTCATCTACTGATATTCTCTTGGCTGGATCAATGACTAGCATCTTTGATAAAAGGTCCCTGGCTTGGCTGGCTAGAACAATGAAATCAGATGAACATAGTATTAGTACAAAACAATTGCTGCCTCCAGGGGAGGGTTAATTGGGTTAGGAAAGTAACAATGACACAACCCATTGGAAGCAATAATGTCAAGTCTGCAGCCTGGAATCAGTACATAATTGTACAGAAGTGCCTTGGAGCTGCTTCAGTTTTGTTTGTCCCACATAACAAAGTTTAAATCAGTGGGATACATCCTTCTCCACTACTAAAAAGCACAGTCTTAATTATATTGCAACATTTATTTTACCTGATAATATAGCCCATTGTGCCTGTCAGGCCACAGCCTCATCCTTCTATTACCCAAATTGTTTTTACTGTTTAGAGTTTGTAACAAATATAAATCCATGGGAAAAAAATACAACAACATATATTTATAGTGTTATTGACATAATGTTCTAAGCTCTTCCATGCTCAAAATTATTTCCTGTGTCAATGAAAAAGAAAATGAAAGGAAAAAAATAGAGATGTAAGTGCAAAAATATTATTAGACTGAGTAAAAGCAATATCTAATTAAAACATTAACATTACATCATGGTGAAATAGGTGATGGGATGATACAGTGTTGCGCAAGCAGATTTTTTTTAATACACTTTCTTATTCTGTGACTGTATCTTGAAAACTGGCATTCAGTATGCTCAAATGCACATGCTTCCTGATCCAAAAGATAACAGCACTGTTTGACAGCCATTTCTATTCGTTAGCTGCAAATCCAAGAAAATTCCATTACTCAATTTTGTTGTAGTAAGCATATAAAATTCTATGTATCCAAAAGCATCTGCTCAGACCTTTCACTCCCAGAGCCGAGACAGCAGCCTTGCTATGAAACAGTTGTTAATTGGAAGAGTATTCTGGGTAATGTAATGACATGCAAATTGCAAGCAATTGAAAACCTTTACACGCCACGGTAGTAAGTGGCCCCAAGTATTCAACTGATGCAGAACTGATACACAGTACAAGTTTGTGGGATTCCAGAGCTGTGATGAGAAATCCTTTCTATACTAAACACACATTCATCTCTTTCCAGCCCTGTTCAGGCAAAACAAGACTTCAATATATGATTAAGATCACTGTAACTTGTATTTTACAGGGGTATATCTCATCACACTGAAATTAAGTTGGTGCTCTAATTCACATATACAAACCAACCCACAGCATTTTCCTAAAGAAATCCACCAATAGCAGATATTAAACCTCAGCTACATGGCTGACGTTGCTAATATCTTTTTGTTGTCTAGTAAAGGTAAACCTATGAGGCACAAATCTGGCTGAACTGGTATTTTTCATCTAAAAAACCCCACTGCAAATGCTGACATCTTTCAGTGAAAGTTCTAATGTTTCTTTGTGTGACAAGTTTAAGAACAAGAATGTAGGAACACCTCAGTTTCTCATGGTACAGAAACGTCATGCAGAACACCATGGGGATATACTCAACATGTCAGAGATAATGTATGTTCCCTTGGCTGCCCAAACACCACGGTCTCCAAAAATAATTTCCAAAAACTGCCTCTCAGCTGAACAAAACCCATGCAGACGTTTGTCTCTGCAATTAATTAGATTAAAAGCAAATGCAACTAGAGAGAAGAAAAACTGAGCAAC